TCTTTCAAATTCATAACCTCTTCCATTAATTGTTGCTCCGTGCATATAAGTGTTTGTACATATATATTCCTAAATATAGCCTGATAAGATTGTATGATGTTCCGTGTGTGTAGTTTTTAGAGCTGACGATTTGGCATTGGATAACCAACTGGTGTTCTCTTCCCTGGGGAAAACAGTTTCTCCCACTCTCCGAGCTCCTTAGCTGCCTGTAGTTATTTGTGTAGGGCGGAGAGTTTGTGGTCTTTCTCTCACCTACTTCGGCTTGTCTATTGCTGTTCTTGTTCAGCCCGTGGTTAGGTGGTCATGCTGGTGAGACTTTATCGGGAGACGCAGTCTCATAGCAAACTTCATTCTGTCCCCACTTCTGCAAGGTTCCCTGAGCTTTAGGTGCAAGAATTATTTTGTAGATATATCCATTGGGACTGGGCTCTACAACTCTGCATTTTGATTGGTTTTGCTTTTCTGTATGGTCTCCATTTGCTGCAAAGAGAAGTTTCCTTGATGGGGGTGAGGACTGTACTTCTCTGGGTAAAGAGCAAATATTTCGAGTGTAGTTAGGGATTGTGCTGGTTTGGGAAAGCGGTGGTTCAGGTTACCCTCCACGACCTGGGTAGCTGGCTAGGTTTCCAGTAGCAGGCACGATTTTTCTCTTGTTGGGCAGGTCTGATGTCCATTATGGAGCTGCTGGTTATACACAGGATATGTGTGCCACTATTTCACCCTTAGGGTTGTTGTGCCATGCTGACTGTTGTTGTGGCTGACAGCCATCATAGCTGGGTGGTTGCTTCTCTCCTTTGGAAGCTTGCATGGTGCCTTTGGTGCCATGAAAGCTGGTTTCAGGAAGGAGACTTTTAGGTCAGCTCCAGCTGAGGGCCCTCTGACAGACTGTATTTTTTTTTTTAAGCTGTTGCTTTTTATTTTGATGTAGGCTCTTTATTTTTGTTACATAAAGATGACTTAAAGTGCATTTTTAAAATATCATAACGAAACCAATTGTTTTTTATAATAACTTAGAAATAAAATGTTTTCTGTTGTTTTTATTAAGCTATATATTTTCCTCTGCTCCCCTCCCTTCCTATCCTCTCCTATGATCCTCACACTCCCAATTTACTCAGGAGATCTTGTCTTTTTCTACTTCCATGTGGATTAGACCCATGTATGTCTCTCTTAAGATCCACTGAGTTCTCTAGGTTATATGGGGTTGTGAATTGTAGACTGGATTTTCTTTGCTTTATTTCTAAAAACTACTTATGAGTGAGTACATATTATATTTGTCTTCCTGAGTCTGGGTTACCTCACTCAGTATGATGTTTTCTAGCTCCATCCATTTGCCTGCAGATTTCAAGATGTCATTATTTTTTCCACTGTGTAGTACTTCATTGTGTAAATGTACCACGTTTTCCTTATCCATTCTTCAGTTGAGGGGCATTTATGTTGTTTCCAGGTTCTGGCTATGATAAATAATGCTGCTATGAATATAGCTGAGCACATGTCCTTGTGGTGTGATTGAGCATCCTTTGTGTATACACCCAAAAGTGGTATTGCTGGGTCTTGAGGAAGGTTGTTTCCTAATTTTCTGAGAAATCACCATACTGGTTTCCAAAGCGGCTGTACCAATTTGCACTCCCACCAGCAATGGAGAAGTGTTCCCTTTACCCCACATCCTTTCCAGCATAAGTTGTCATCAATGTTTTGATCTTGGCCATTCTGACAGGTGTAAGATGGGATCTCAGAGTTGTTTAGATTTGTATTTTTCTGATGGCTAAGGATGTTGAGCATTTCCTTAAGTGTCTTTCAGCCATTTTAGATTCCTCTGTTGAGAGTTCTCTGTTTATGACTGTACCCCATTATTTTATTGGATTATTTGTTCTTTTGATGACCAATTCCATTTATTTATTTATTTATTTATTTATTATACAGTTAGCCAGAAGAAGGTATCAGACCTCATTACAGATGGTTGTGGGCCACCATGTGGTTGCTGGGAATTGAACTCAGGACCTTTGGAAGAGCAGGCAATGCTCTTAACCTCTGAGCTATCTCTCCAGCTCCCGTGATGACCAATTTCTTGAGTTCTTTGTATATTTTGGTGATCAGACCTCTGTCTGATGTGGAGTTAGTGAAGATCTTTTCTTATTTTGTAGGCTGCCATTTTGTCTTGTTGATTCTGTCCTTTGCTTTACAGAAGCTTCTCAGTTTCAGGAGGTTCCGTTTATAATTGTTGTTCTCAGTGTCTGTGCTACTAGGGTTATATTTAGGAAGTGGTCTCCAGTGCTAATGTGTTCAAGTGTACTTCCACTTTCTCTTCTATGAGGTTCAGTGTGGCTGGCTTTTGTTGAGGTCTTTGATCCATTTGGACTTGAGTTTTGTTCATGGGGATATATATGGGTCTATTTTCATTCTTCTACATGTTGATATCCAGTTATACCAGCACCATTTGTTAAATATGCTTTCTTTTTCCATTTGATATTTTTTGCTTCTTTGTCAAAAATCAGGTGTTCATAGGTGTGTGGATTAATATCCAGGTCTTCTATTCAGTTCCATTGGTCCTCCTGTCTGATTTTATACCAATACCAGGCTGTTTTCATTACTGTAGCTGTGTAGTAGAGTTTGAAGTCAGAGATTGTGATGCCTCCAGAAGTTCTTTTATTGTACAGGATTGTTTTGGCTATCCTATTTTTTTTTTTTTGCTTTTCCATATGAAGTTGAATATTGTTCTTTTGAGTTCGGAAGATTGTTCTGGGATTTTGATGAACATTGCATTGAATCTGCAGATTACTTTTGGTAAGATTGCCATTTTTACAATGTTAATTCTGCCTACCCAAGAGCATGGGAGATCTTTCTATTTTCTATTGTTTTCTTCAGTTTCTTTCTTCAAATGTTTAAAGTTCTTGTCATACAGGTCTTCCAGTTTTTGGTTAGAGTTACTCAAAGATGTTTTATGCTATTTGTTGCTATTGTGAAGAGTGATATTTCTCTGATTTCTTTCTCAGCCCATTTATCATTTGTGTTAAGGAGGGTTACTAATTTTTTTGAGTTAATCTTGTATCCTGCTATATTACTGAATGTGTTTATGAGTTGTAGGAGTTCTTTGGTAGATTATTTGGGGTCACTTATGTAAACTATCATATCATGAGCAAATAGTGAGAGTTTGACTTCTCTTCTGATTTGTATTTCCTTGATCTCCTTTTGGTGTCTTATTGCTCTAGCTATAACCTCAAATACTATATTGAATAGATATGGAGAGAGTGGACAACCTTGTCTTGTTCCTGATTTCAGTGGAATTGCTTTGAGTTTCTCTCCATTTAGTTTGAAGTTGACTGTTGGCTTGCTGTATATTGCCTTCATTATGTTTAGATATATTCCTTGTGTCTCTGCATTCTCCAAGACCTTTATTGTGAAGGGGTGATGTATTTTAACAGACTATATGTCTTAACGCCGCTGGTTCATCACTTCCTTTATTGGTTGGGGAAAACTAAGTGCTTTACAAAACCTCATTACTTTTTCTATTAAGACTTCTGATATGTATTCTTACGTTGGCGTGGGAAGTCCTTCTGTATATGTGTTGCTTTTATTGGTTAATTGTCGGGGTCCAGTGGCAGCTCAGACCCTATATTATTTCTCTTGACCAGACCCCAACATGAGCTATCTCTCTCTCTTGACTGGCGTGGAGGCGCGGGAATAAAGGCACAATTCACATGGCTTTATAGGGAGGGAGACTCTCTGTGATCCCTCATGAAATTCTGAGTTCACGTCCTGAGAAATTTTTCTCATTTTTTTTCTCCAAACAGCTTTCATACCAAAATGTAATCTGAGGGGGAAATTCATTAGCAATCTGTTTCCTAGGTAACCAGGTGAATGGCTTTTCGTCATGTTCACGTCTACCCATGTCTTCTCTGTCACATCTTCCTGGTCAGTCACGTAGGCTTGAATCAGCACCGCTATTCAGGCGTCCTCCAAATTACAAAACAAGGAGCAAAACAACATCCTGGCCCTGAGTTACGTTAGCGACAGCCTGTCTAAAAAGTTCCATGACCACCTCAGGTGGGGAACTATGGTTTCAGAGCCTGGCTGCCATACCATATAGAAATATGGGCCTACAATTAACAAAGATGCTGCTTTTGGCCAATGGCTTAACAGAATATAGCCAGGCTGGAAGGTATATATATAGAGAGAGAGAGAGTAGGCAGAGTCAGGGAGAAACCATGTAGCCACCAGAGACAGACACTAGATGCCAGACAAAACTTTAACCAGTAAGNCCTCCTCCTGGACAGAACCGTACTGATTAACCAGGAGCCTCGTGGTAAAATATAAAATAACAGAAACGGGTTAATTTAATATATAAGAGCTAACTAGCAATACGCTTAAGTGATTGGTCAAGCAGTGTTTTAATTAATATAGTTTCTGTGTAATTATTTCAGGTCTGAGCGGCCGGAAACACACAAGCAGTCTCTGTCTACAGTGTGTAGATAAACAATGTTTAGTAATTTAAAGGTGACTAAGTAGGCCACTAAACATTGCAAATCTGACAAGCTGGCATATACTAAACATCCCACCTCTTTCTACGAAGAACGCGATACTATTTCAGCCGTGTCTTTATTGTTTTACAGCAGAGCCTTTGTACAAAGACTTCATGAGTGAATGTTAGCATAGGTGTCGTGGATCCAAACCCAGGTTCTCACTCCTGTCCTTCAAGCCCTGTGCTCACTAAGCCACAGCTCCTGAGACCCTAGAACAATCTTATTTTAAATTGTGTTTGGAGTTACGGTCTCTTTACATAGCCTTGGCTGTTCTGGATCTTTCACTGTAGATCAGGCTGGCCTCGAACTCACAGAGATCTGCCTGCCTCTGCCTCCCCAGTGCTGGAGTTGGGTGTGCACCAGCTCACCTGGCCCCTAGAAGACATTTAAGCAGAGCCCTATAGTCACAAGGACTAAACATGGTATAATTTCAATTTATAGACTTTTATTATGGTACTTAAGAATTAAAATATAGAACAGAATTAAAATATAGAACAGAGTCAAATTCTTTGATGGAAATAGAACAGAATATGAGCTGAAGAAGAGAAAGGAAAGAGAAACCTCTGGTTAAAGAGCAGCTTGTTCATGCATTAAAAATAGATGATGGGATATTAGATCCTATTAGATAGATTTTTGTTTGGGGGGTATTTTGTCCGATTGTTTTAATAATTTATTTATTTGTATTTTATCTACATTGGTGTTTTGCCTACATGTATATCTGTGTAAGGGTGTTGGATCCCCTGGAACAGGAGTTATAGACAGTTGTGAGCTGCCAGATGGGTGCTGGAAATTGAACCCAGATCCTCTGGAAGAACAGCCAGTGCTCTTAACCACTGAGCCATCTCTCCAGCTCCTGATTTTTACTTTTTGAGACAAGGTTTTTCTGTGTAGCTCTGGCTGTCTTGGAACTAGGTGTGTAGACCAGGCTGGTGTCAAACTCAGAGAACAGCCTGCCTCTGCCTCTTGAGTGCTGGGATTAAAGGAGTGAGCCACCACTCCTGGCCCATTAGATCGATTTTTTTAAAAAGTATCTCAATATTTTATTTTAAAATGAAGATGCTTACAGTATAAAGTTAAGGTATTTTAACTTGGGTTGGAAACTCTTAAATGTCAGCTTTGAAGGAGCTCTGACCAGCTTGAGCGTGGTTTCTCTATTTCTGTTTCCCGACCTCAGCTAACTCGGTAGGCAATCACGGCGATCATTTGTAGACCTTTGAAGCTGATTTTCCTTGCCTTTCTGATCGTTTTGTGAGCGTCTGATTGTACAAATGCTCCTTGGCTGATCCTTAGGGTCCATTCCAATAAACCCACACGAAGCTGGAAAGAAGATTAAGACAAGAGTGCCTTTAATACACCCGAGCTGACACCACAGCCGAATAACTGTGGCTCTAAGCTCCTACCGGGCAGCTTGGAGATCACGTGGTTAACATACGCCTGTGCTTTCCTGCCTATCACTGCACCAGGAGGGAGTATCAAGCCAGTCTACAAAATGCTTTAGCCGGGGTAAGAGCAGAATCCCCAAACTGAATGTCCCACTGGGTACTGATGTCTTTACAGCATGGTAAAGGTGAAGAAACAGTCAGTGCCCTCCAGCCCATGCCTCTAAGTCAGGATGTCTGTCTTAAACCCCGAGTCCACAGTAGCAAGAATGGCTTCACTGCCAATCACATTCTGAATAACTCCGTCACTTCTCTGAGCTCCTCCAGCCTCCCTATTGTCTTTTTGGTCTTTTTATAATCTAATGGTGTTGGAAGTTAACCACCCTCCGCTGACTGTGCAAGGCCACGTGGTTACTTGAGCGACTACCCCCTTTCAGAGCTAGCCCCTCGCAGGACTATTTGGTAGGTCTTCCTTTTAGGGGACAAGGTCTTTCATGACCTTTCTGGCAAAAGCTATCCATGAACAGACCCGAATGTGATTTCAGCATACGGAACCTTTGCATGCCGTCCAGGCTACTGTCTGCCTCTGAGCCTAAGTCATGGGGTGGGACTCCATTGTTCTTTCTCCAGTCTCTTGTGTGCTTCGGCCTGGGCGCCTAACTCACCTGCTCCTTCGCTGTGGGACTGCCTGAGTCAGTTCCTTAGCACTGATCCCTTCCAGGTGGTTTGAAAAGTCCTCTGGAGCTTTAATTTAAAAATGCCGAGTCCTCGACCAACCCTTGAATCAGCAGGCAGAGGTTCGGCTGGATGTCTGCATTTTAAACAGTAATCGTGAGGCATTCTGACTCACAGGGACTCGGCCGACACCCGATGTCAGAGGCTTACCCACGGTAATGGGCAGGGCAGAAAGGAGACTCAAGTTCCTTCCCTCTCCCCAGGACCACGCGGGTGGGAAAAGAGAGAGAGGTGGGAGGTGGCCCGTAGGTTGAAGGCCCGACTGGCTGGGATTATTGTTGCAGCTCTGGTTCATACCAGGAAATGAGAAGGAAAACCAGTTTGTGGAGGAAGGGAATGAGCTCACCTGGGGCCTGTTGGGCCTGACATCCAAGGGGAGATGACGTGTTGGCAGCTAGTAAAATGGATGAGTCAGGTCTGGAGGGCGGTGAGTGGGACGGAGTCTCTGTTCAGGTTTCAGAGAGTCATGGCTGTACCTGATTATTCTTTAATGTGGTTCCTCACGGCTGTCTTGAACGTGGTTCCTCACGGCTGGTGGCATTCTCTACCCGGTATGGAATCGAATACGTTTTGTTTTCGTACTGGGTTGTCCAGGAGGAAAAGTGAGGAGACTCGTGCTGGGAAACTCATCCTCTTGCCCGGAGACCTGACTGTCCATTTCCCACGATCCTTCTTCCCCTTTCTCCAGCCCACAAAGAAGTGCGTCATGATTGTATAAACTGGGAAAGAAGAAAATAATGTAGAATAAAGACAAGGGAGAAGAAAGGCCAAAAGTAGAACTATGTATTTTCATTATCTGTTTCAGTTACCCACAAATCAGGCTAGGTTAAAAAAATAACATGTCTTTATCCTCTGTGAGCTTAATCTCTCCTGCAAGAAAGAGAGCAGTCAGGCGCTTTGGTGATACCAGTCATTTACCCGTCCTGGTGACCACAGATCTCCAGCTTCTGCAGAAGTCACCCAGCAGGTCCACCACAGTTCCAACACTCACCAAGGGGAGAAGCGGTGTGCTCTCAGCGTCTAGAGATGCTAGACATTAGTATGTGGGAGTCCTTGGTCAGTTCAGGTCATTGTCACTCACAAGTGAAATGCAGCTGCAGCGGAAAGGAAAACCGGAAGAAGGTGCACATAGACTGATCAAATGACTTCTTTATAAACGAATTATACAATTTTAAAAAAGCCCACATATAAAAAACATGACTGAAGTGGTCTCTCAGGTTTTTATAGAAATCTTCTAGGTGACATTCCAACCTTATTGTAAAATTGGGTTTTTCTACCTCCAAAGGCAGACATTTTAGGTTCCTTTCTCCACTGATGGAAATAAGAAATAGGATTTTGTTAATGTGGATATATTTGACTGAAACACACACACACACACCCGTTGCCTGAGTTCCTTGCAATGAATGAGGCTCTCTTAATAGAGTAATTGTGTAAATGATTGGGCTCAGTGGTACAGGGCTGGCCTAACGCCCTGAGCTCGGTCCTCAGCACGGTGCTGGTGGAGTGGGCTTGGGAAGGGAGAGGAGGCGGAAGAGCAGGGAAGGAGAAGGGATTTAAGGTAGGATACATGGATGATAAACACATTGATTTCCAAATTTGTGATGTGTGTATGGTATTGACGGCATCCCGCACATTTGGAAAGGGAGTTGCAAACGGGGTAGCTTTTTAAATAAAAAATTCACATCTTTGTAACCATGGAATATTGAATATAAACAGATACGACATTTATAAAGTCTTACAAACATGGCTGCCAAATATGAGCTGAACATCGATACATATGCCAGAGTGGACCCTGACGTCTCAACTCTACACAGAGGACTACAGGCCGCTAAGAAACACTGCAAGTGGGAAAAATGGTTCTTCCCAGGGAAGAGAACACTCACTGGTCATCCGATACCAAATGATCAGCTCTGAAAACATACATGCAAGTAACAGTGTTCAGGCTGAAGATACATATTTATGAATATATATGTTTACACATACATACATGTAATAACAATCAATGGGAAAAGGCCATGAACTTGAAAGACCTCATGGAAAGGCATATGAGAGAGTTTTGGGGGGCGGGAAGGGAAGGAAGAAAAGATGTAAATAATCTCAAAATATAAGAAAAACATAAATAAATACAACATATAAATCGTAATTCTGGAAGCTAGGCAAAAAATATTTAACCAGTCAGAGATATGCATAGATATTATCAGGCATGATCTTCACTGGACCCGTAGCGTGTTCTATGTACTATGGTAACAATAGCAAACAAACCACTTAAAATGAAAACAAATAAATGTTTCCAAAAATTAGCAAACAATGCCGGGCCATGGTGGCAAACGCCTTTAATCCCAGCACTCTGGAGGCAGCGACAGGCGGATCTCTGTGAGTTTAAGGTCAACCTGGTCTACAAGAGCTAATTCTAGGACAGGCTCTAAAGCTACAGAGAAACCCTGTCTCAAACAAAAAAAAATAGCAAACAAAAAAAAAAGCATAGACAGGTAGACACTAAGATAATGGTAAATATTTATGAACTCATAAATTGTAAATTGGAAGAATTTTTGCGTATGCTGTCAGTATATAACAGGAGACCTACTCATCATATAAAAGTGGTAAAAAAAAATCCTTCAAATTATGTTCTATTGAGACATTGAAGGCAAAGTACACATTGGGAAGAAGAAAGAGTAGAGGTGGCCCCAACGGTGGAAGGCACGCGGATGTCTTCAGGAAGCCAATCAGAATGGCTTTCTCTCCAAACCACGGAGGGAGCAGATAACTGCACGGAGAGATTGAACAGTGCAGAACGGTTTCGCTAATGCATGGAGGGAAACTGTCAAAGTATTAATTCATGTGCTTTTAATCCCAGAACTACATTAACCTTCCACTACTCGGACTGCAAGCCGAAAGCTATTTCCCCAAGAGGCAGACAGTGTGCCACCAAGAAAGCCCAGAAGAGAAACTCAAACGAAACAGCCCGAGAGACTTGAAAAGTAGGCTCGCACTTGGAGTGCCTGCACACAGCTTCCTGGGTAAGAGGGCTCCCCGGTGGGCTGTGGAAAGCAGCGATGTATTTTCCAGCCTGGTCAAGTGCAGGCTGGCCAGGAGCGCGCCAGGGAGGGTGTAAATGCTGAGGGAAGCCAGAGTCGGTATCCTGGAGTGGGGCTGGAGATCACCAGCTGATTTTATAGATACAGATAGGCACACACATATGCCGTCTTGTCATATCCGTTAGCTGTTTGTGTACTATGGGAAAACAATGGGATGTCATTTAAAGATTTTATGTAGAAAACTGACTCACTAATATCCTTCTTCTTGGTTGTAAATAATAATTTTCAGGAAATGAGACCAATCTTTGGAAAGTGTAATCCGTCAGCCATGGTGGCAGAGGCCTATAATATCGTAATCCCAGTATTTAGGAGGCGGAGGGAGGAGAATTGCAAGTTCTGGGTCAACTTGGGCTACACAGGGAGACTTCATCTCAAAGTGGGGAGAGGGAGAGATGGAGGGAAAGGAGGAAAGTGACTGCAATAGGAACAGCAGTCTCTGTCAGGCTGGCAATGGCATTGAACGGAGATGGTTAGCAGGCGTCTGTGGCAGTGGCTTCAGCAACACTAACTTAACTTTCATTTTTAGGTAGCCTGGAAGTACTAGGCCAAAGTCTGGCAAGGAACTCAATTCTTGGCTTTCAGAGAGTCATCATCTTGCTGAGAGAAAGAGAGAGAGAGACAGGGAGAGGGAGAGGGAGAGAGAGAGAGAGAGAGAGAGAGAGAGAGAGAGAGAGAGAGACTCCTGAAGACCCCAGGTACAGTGAGATACAGCGACAGGACCTAGGTCTTCAACTGAGAGTTCTTGGTGTATACAACTTGGTCCATAGCTGTCTGTCTTTAGAAGACAGTGCTCGATTGGCTCTGTGGACAATGTGGAAGGGAGGGAAAGAGTGAGAGACAATGCCTAGGTTTCTTGTTCCAGCAGAAACAATAGCAGCATTGTAGAATTTACTGGGGGTAAAGAAGCTTTTTGCTGTTGCTGTTTTTTTTGCTTTGGACAGGAGTGTATATATAGTCCAGGCTGGCCTCCAATTCATTATGTACCCAAGAATGACCCTAAACTTTGGATCCTCCATCTCTATGTCTAGAGTGCCATCATGCCTAGTTTAAGAAGAATTTTTGGAGAGGGAAGAGTTTCTCTAACATTAAATATATTTATTTTAACTGTCTGTAAGATATCAAAATGAAAATACCGAGCGAGTGGTTGGTTGGAATTATGAGCTTGGAATTCAGAAAAATTCATCTAGGGTCCAAATATTGGTATAGAACTCATTGGCCTAGAGACTGTCTTAGCTGTCGTTGATACGACAAAACACCACAGACTGCTCAGCTTACAATCAAAGGGGACGTATCCTCCCAGCTCTGTGGATGCACAAGATCAGGATGTCATCAGGTCAGTGTCTGCCGGAAGCCCAGTTTACAGTTAGTCAGCAGCATCCTCTCGCCTTAACCCAACATGGGAGCTCCCTCTTGCAATAACCCAACCCACGAGAAGGCTGAGGAGCGCTCAGGGCCCCCCTCTCACTGTAACCCAACATGGGAGAAGGTGGAGGAACACTCAGGGGCTCCCTCTCGCTGTAATACAATATGGGAGGGGAGGGGAGCTCTCAGAGTCCTTTTGGAAGGGCAGTACCATGATGCTCAGCCTCCCTGACCCAATCACCTCCCAAAGACCCATCTCAAACATTACATTAGGAATTGATTGTTAGCCGGTGGATTTGGGAGCAGAGAAACATCGTCCATAGCAGGCGGTCAGCAAGCTACAGGAGCGGGTGGTGCATCTTTAGGGCAGTTGATTCTCCTGCTGAAACTGCAGAATCGCTTGGATGGCGTGTAAAACCAAACAGGCCTCCCCCTCAGAATTCCAGATCCTACTATACACTTGTGGAGGCAGTGTGACTATCTTAAGACGTTTGAAGTATACTAGCAAATTCTTGGCAGAGAGCGCAAAGGAATTACATTTTTGCCAGCAGGTTAGAGAACACCCATCTTAATCCACGCCTTTCTACATTAAATATTATAATTGGTTTCAACAATTCGAAGCAGGGTGATGATCTAATTTAAAAATGCCATCTTTGAGTTTTTGGTTAAAAACCCCTTTTAATTTTTTTATATGCCTATATTTTAACACACTTATTTCTAGAGCCCTTCAATATGCCATTTCATTTCATAATAGGCAAATTTGGGAAGCAATTCAGAGTCAGACAGATATAATTACCTTAATGGGTTGGATGTCTGTGATTGCGGTGGCGATACTCTCCCTGCTGATACTGTTTCTAGTTGAGTAACGCGTGTAGCGGAAGTGAAACCGAGGCCCTGTCCTCCTAGTTCATGCTAAGCTGTCCTGTGGCCTTTTACGGGAACAGGGCCCCAGAAATAATTCTTCTAAATGTAGACTACACTTGGCCAGTATTGGCAAACTTGACATGACCCAATGTTCTGCCACCTCGGTTCCCACTGCCAGCCCAAATGCTTAGTCAGGCAGCAGAGAAGCTGCGGCCGACAACACCAGAGCCTACCGGGAGTGCGTTGTCTCGTCCCCCTGGCATTTCCTACGGCGTCTTTCAGTCTTAATTGAAGCTATACTCCAGCACCCGCTTCATCCACTCTGCCTTGGCCCTGCCCTGAAATCTCCTTTGTTAGTTCACCTTCTGGTCTGCCCTGGGCCCTGTCACCATTCTCTTTGACATCTGACAGCTTCAGTGCCCCTGATCTGAGATGATTGATGTCTGGTTTGATGGATGGTTTGCATTTCTTAAGCATTGCACCCAGCCTGAGTCGATCACAGCTAGAGACTCTTTCTAGCTCTTTGAAGTAAAGACTAGTCATAAGATTTTCCCAGCAAGGGGGCTGGAGAGATGGCTCAGAGGTTAAGAGCATTGCCTGCTCTTCCAAAGGTCCTGAGTTCAATTCCCAGCAACCACATGGTTGCTCAGAACCATCTGGAATGGGGTCTGGTGCCCTCCGCTGGCCTGCAGGCATACACACAGACAGAATATTGTATACATAATAAATAAATAAAATAATAAAAAAAGATTTTCCCAGCAAGATGCACAAAA